ACCAAACATAAAAGAAATCAGTTATTAGAATTGAGTTATTAAATCTGTTATGTTTAAACTGAGCTTTAAGCATCTTCACTATAAGAAAAAAAACTTTAGCTACAAAAGTCCTACAATCAAGAGCAGTGAGGGATTTTCTCCTTTTGTTGTTTGATTCATAATAAAAACAGAGGGCGGCAGGAATACTGCGCGTTGTCACTTTAAGAATAGTGCGGCTCTGATATAGATTCTTTTTCACATGTCTTTTGATTCTCTCATTTCTTAGTTACACAAATGACGGTTAATATGAATAATCACTAAACATCGCGCTCTGACACAAATGTGCAAGTATTTGACCATTAAACCACTCACATTAAGATTGGCACTAGATGTGTGTGCTTTGCTCGTCTCCGAGCCTGTCTGAGGCTAAAGCCTGGTTTATACTTCTGCGTCAAGTGACCGGCGTAACCATCGGCGCATGCAACGCCCTTAGCTGTGCATTTATACTTCTGCTCGCTGTCTCTGTTGGTCTGCATTACACTACCGAAACACTAGTTGGCAGTGAAGTGTTAATGTTCCTCTGTGTTGAGTTTCTTCGCTGCTGTTTTGCTTTTCCTGAACACTTCCTGGATGTACAAGTGGCTCAAACTCGCTCTTTTTGAGGCAGGAACCGGCGGACGAGCAACAACTTTAACTATGAGGTAAACACAAAACAAAACTTTCCATCCGGAGCTCCTTCACGGGACTCCACATTTGTAAACAATCGCTCAGTTGGGCTCATGCCCAGCTCGCGTCACTCGCGCTGCTCTCAGTCCCGCCCAGACTCGTCAGCGCTACCAAGCCGACCAATCACAGAGCTTGCGCTACGCGTCGTTTCGACGTGTAGTTACATTTTTTGAGAGGTGCACGTCAGTGACGCCGACGGCCAGGACGAAGGGCTATGCGTCAACGCTGTAGCATACGCGTGCATTTGACGCAGAAGTATAAATCAGTCTTAGGCGCGGCGCACACACACCAGCATGTGCTCTTTCGCGCTTTAAAAAATATGAATGATTCGAATGTACATCAATGAATAATGAGCATCCAGTGCTGCAAACGTTACATTACAGTACATGCTTTTAGTCATTTTCATGTGGAACTGAGCTTTGCAATGCAACATATGTGTACAACTGGAAAGGGGGCAGTATATAATGGAATAATAGTTTATCATGATTAATGGTTTTTCATAATCGTTAGAAGCCAAAATCGAAATCGAAACCGAATTTTCGATTAATTGCACAGCCCTAGTTTGTGTTTCCTCATCTTTTTATTGACAAAAGCCCATAGACTTTCAATGGGGTTTAATTCAGGCAAATACAGTTATTTCATGCCTGTTAAACCAGTTACAGGTAGTTCTGGCTTTGTGGGCAGGTGCCAAATCCTAGTGGAAAATAAAATCATCATCTCCAAAAAGCTTGTTGGCAGCAGGAAGTGTTCTAAAATATCCTGGTAGACAGCGGTGTTGACTGTGGACTTGATAAAATACAATGGTCCCACACTAGCTCCTCAAGCCATCACTGACTATGAAAACTTCCCACTGGACTTTAAGCAGCTTGACTTTTGTGCCTCTCTGGTCTTCTTCCAGACTGTGGGACCTTGATTTCCAAATGAAATACAAAATTTGCTTTCATTTGATGAGAGAATTTGGGACCACTAGGCAGCAGACCAGGGGTCCGTTCTTCATACTTCGCTTAAATGATTTAAGATTATTTGGCAGATAACTGATCTCTAGCAAATTTGGTTCTTCAAACAAGTTTGCGAATCAGATTAAAATGTCTGGATGAACTCATCTGAAATCATTGGGTGTGTTGTGAAGGACAGATCTATTGATTCTTAAAATCATGATGAGCAATGCAAGGACTGGCTGATGGCACAGCAGTGTAAAGAAAACATCTGGTTAATATTGAATATGCCAAGTGTATACAACTACTACTGCAAAAAAATATCAGAATTTGATACATACTATCAGTATTTCCTTTGCTTGAAAATAACCAATCTAATCCCGTTTATATGAAATCAGCTGCTGCTCCCAAGCAGGTCTGAGCTACTAGAACTGTTGCTATGACAACATCACTCAGATGAGTTTTGAAGAACGAAACGATCCTGGATTACGTCAAATCATCAATAACCAAATCCAGCTAATTGAGTAATCCACATGTGAAGAATGGAACCCAGTACTTTTTCTCCTTAGCCCAGCATGCAGACATTTGTTGTTCAGGAGTAGCTTGACACATAGAATTCTACAGCTGTAGCATGTCATCAAGATGTCTATGAGGTGGTTCTTGATGTACTGACACCAGCCAACATTTTCCCTTCTTCTTAACACTATTAATTTATTTAGACACTCCACTCTGTGAGCATCCAGCTTCTTCTGCAACTGCCTTTTCAGACTATTCCTCCTTTTGGAGGGGGTCTTCTGCACAACCGTCAAGTCTCCATCATGATTCTGAAGCCTGTTAAGCCAGACAATTTCAAGGCTGAGGAAACCTTTGCAGGTGTTTTGCATTAATTAGCTGACAAGATTGGAACACAGGGAGCCTACAGTATGTTTACATGGACACCAATAATCCAATTTAAATCCAAATTTAATGCAATGAGTTTATCGTGTGAACAGCGATTTTTGAATACCTTAACCCAACTAAAGTCATAATCAAGCTAAACAGAAATCGAATTAAGACATGGGTCACATTATTGAAGTGCAGTACAAACATGCAAGCACCTTAATCAAACAATTACCGTCATGTAGGATTTACACCGCATTTTGCGACAGGATATTCCATATACACACGGCCATTTGACACTATTCTCTTTGTTTCCAAAAGTAATTTATTTTTACTTTTTTATAAGAAAAAAAGTCGGTTTCAGGCAATGTGTGTTTTAATTTCAGTTGTTCAACATTGATGTTCAATAAATAATCATAAATAGAAGATAATGTGCGTTTCCTTTGATTATTTTAAACTCAAGTAATGCACCCTTCATTCAAAATTCTCTAACTTGCAACATGTGAGCATATTTACTGTACAAAACCTCTCAGTGAAAAACAAACAAATTAAAAAAAAAAAAAAAAAAAGAACAGTTCAACAATCGAGTAAAAATGTTCAGTTAATCGGGATTTGAATTTTAGGCCAAATCGCCCAGCCATAGACAGTGCTAGAATTTTGATTAAAAAAAAATAAAAATAAATAAATATATAAAAAAAAAATCTAAATAAATAAATTTCAGTTTTGATGCTTACTCAACCTTAAATTTAGGTTGCCCAATTAATCAACCTTAAATAGATATCACCTTGCTATATTTAATTCATATTAGGGTATGTGTGTTGTTAAAGGTTAACGCATATTTAAAAGTTCAAAACTCAATACGAAAACAATGTTGCATGCTAACATGATGCTTTTTTACCCTGAATGATATAGAATTGCTAATAAACATAATCAGCTTAAATATGCCTATGTTTATCGAGCTTCTGATGTTGGTGTTTCCAGATGAACTTGAATTGAATCATTGCCCGTCTGTTAGTGCGCAAGACCGTGTCTGCTTGGAGAATGGTATTTAAATCTAGTTGTGTCACAGTTATGGCAATATTACATTTGATTACAAAGTTTGTTTTAGTTTCTTCTAGTTAATGTGTCCGATAGCGTATACATTCTCTGTCAGGCACAAGTAAATATAAACTGGGTACCGCTCAAATCCAAGTAAACAACCTAACTTCACACGATCCCTCACTAGATATTGATAATGCATACAAAGTAAACTTGCTATGTTTTGAGGCGGTCATTACACTTTACTGCAAGATCAATCACCCTCAAAAATTCCGTCAATTTATTAAGCACACACGGTCGTGCAGGAATTTAGTAGATTTGCGGGTTATGCTCCTCGTAAATAGGTCTTGGCAGATAACTAGGTTTCGAGAGACAACCATTACTTCGTAACGGATTTTAAAAAGTGAGGCTGAAGTCTTAATCACATCTACATCTAGCCCTTCCACGAGGTTTACAAAACCTCGCTGCATCGCGTATTACCCACTTTTAAGTCTGCTCAGCATGAAAATGAGCTTGTTTAGTTGCGCGACACATGCAACGCACACATGCTAATGCTAACCCAGCTAAGTATTAGCTCACTGGTGATACATTCACGGAAAATTACTTAAGTACCCGATATGTCCAAACCATCCCTGTACAGAAAACACATACGTTATATTTATCAGCTTACACTACATTAAGTTGTGTTGTTGTTTTTATTTCGTTGTTTGTTTGTTTTTGGCTTATTTTAGAGAACTTTAAATAACAAAAATATTTAACGCACATTAGCCGTGGCCATTCACAATGAAGAGAATATGATTTATGACTTCAACAATAACCCGTGTTCATTCCACCTGAATAAAAGGTAAATGTATTTATTACAATCCACACTTCCTATTTGATTAATAAACTCATACTCACAACTCATTTCTGCCGGATTTGTCCCAGTTTTTTAACCAGTCAAACGGGAGGATCAGCGCCGCCATCTTCCTCCACACTCTCAGATGAAGCAGCCGTAGCGCGCGCCGGATGTTTAGCACACACAGTTGAGCGCGTCAAAGCAGTATTTAATAATGGAGTATTTGAACTGTTTTAGTTCCTTAATTTCATTATTATATCGTTTAATATATCAAATTATTTCTCTTTCAGTGTATAGAACTAAAATCCTAATGTATGTTTATTTATTTAGAGAAAGGGGATAATACATCTTTTAGAGACAATTCCTGCGCGTTTAAGTTCTGCTTTATTCTAGCATCTTAAACTGGGCTTTGATGTGTTTTTGTAATTAGTTTTTTTATTGTACAGTAATTTTTATTTGCAAGCCTTATTTGTATATAAATTCTCAACAAAGGATTTTAAATGATATATGTTGGCGAAACCTTTATACTGAAAATAATGAAGAAGCTGTCGTTGCTTTGGACTTTTCTTTTGTAATGTTAATGTCCTGGGCGCTTCCCTTTCCGCATCGCAACTGTCGTGGCCACAGTGGTAGCCTACAAAAATGTTGCATAAACTATTAATAGTTGTTTTCCTCGTTGTTTGTCTACATGACATGCGATTAAATGGGCAGAAAAAGAAGGAAGTAAGTGTATTTGCAAATGCTTTTATTATTATTTTTTTTTTAACAATCGAGATCACTGGGTACTCAATTGATCTTATGACTAACGTAACGTTAGCTTCGCTCTTTTTCAAAAGCACATTGAAGTCAAAAAGGCATAATTGTTCCCATTTAAGAACAATTCAAGACGTGTGTAAATTACTAAAAAAATAGTTACTGATCAGTGTTTGTCGGATGTCGGATAAAGTGACACAAGTGGCCCTGTATGCAAATTGCACTGAACTTCCTGCTGTAACATTACGCCAAACCTATCATCTAAGTAATCTGTGGCGTTCGTCTTGGTATGCTTATGACATAGACCATAAATATGATAGTTGAGCCATATTGCTTGCTTTATCACAAACATTATAATTTTTTTGGAACAATTCCCTTTTCGTTAATGATTCATTGCTCCTTTAAAGTGGTGGTTCAGGGTGTATTTTTAAGGCTTGATTGTGTTTATGGGGTGCAAAGCAATGTGTGCTCATGCTTCGTTTGTAACAAAAAAATCTGGTTATTTTTTCATTTATCTTACTTTGATTATGTACTGCTACTCAGCTAGCATGAAATTGACTATAATATTTCCTAGTTCCTCCGAAGGCCCGCCCTCAAAAGGCTATGACTGGTCAGCTAACACGATGTGCTGTGATTTGTGGATTGGCTCCACCTCACCAGGAAGTGTCACGCCTTTACTAGCACGTAATTTGCCTTTGCTGTGTAAACATTAGAGCTGCGTCCCAATGGAACACTATGCAATATGCACATATGCACGTACACACTCAACAGCACAGTATATGTATGTAGTGTCGTTCCAAATGGAACACTTATGTTTTTTACTAAGTGGAAATCCAAACCGTTTCCCTGATGACGTTTCACGGTTGCCAAATTAGTGAAATAAACGACCAAAGTACCAAGTAATACCTGCCATGAGTATAACCTGATTCACCATTGGGAAGCGCTATCCGCTTGTTAAGTGGTGACGTGTTTGTGACATATGTAATACTGTTTCCGGGTCCAGGCCGGCATTTATTTGAGTGGAGAAATCATTTGTTTATGATCACGTTTTATTCCTATCACACATTAAAGTTAATTTTGTATAAAATCATAGTGTACACAACAATCTCTGGGCTTGCTGCATAACAAATACCAACATTTTCACAATTTATAAAAAAATTAATCACTTTCTAGCCATCGGATATTAGGCATGGACATATATACTACTATCGTGATTTTCGAAAGCCTTAAATCGCTTTGCAAACGTTTATTATTACCATTTCATTAGTCTCCCCATTCAGTTGAATAGAGCACTTGGACCCGGAAGCCGCTTTGCGTGACGTCACACTTAACAAGTGGATAATCATTCTAATAGGAGAATTTTGCTTTCACAATCCTAAATAAATAAAGTTAGCCCACTTGATAGCTCTGCCCCTTCTGCTACTATTCACCATCAGGAGGTGCTAAAATCACTCCCGTAGGAGAATTTGCTTTCTCAATCCGAAATGAATAAAGCAATCCAACATGTGCTGCCGATAGCTCCGCCCCTACCGCTACGTAAGCAAAGCTGTGGTTGTTGAGTGTGTGAAGTGTCCAACATTCCACACTTCATATTACTGGTTGAATTGGTGCATCATCCGGGTATTTACTTATGCACTATTCTCCGCCATTTAGTAGTGTAAAAAGTGCATTTTATTTACCGAGATGATGCACTTATTTAACTGTTAAAACGATGTGTGGAATGATGGACACTTCTAATTTACTTCTCACTTTTACTAATTTGACAGATCATATGTCATCAGGGAAACAGTTTGAATTTCCGCATAGTAAAAAAAAAACATTAGTGTGACATTGGGGTGACACTACATACATATACTATGCTGTTTAGTGTGTTAATGCATAGTGTATATAGTGTGCCATTTGGGACACAGCTACTGTTAACGTATCAGTTTGAGCTTAAATCAGACAGAAAATGACACAGCTGAACCTCATGCCTGCTTTGTGTAATAAAATATTACTAGTGTATTTTATATATATATAAATATTTAGATTATAAGCATGTGTAAGTAATATGAAATCGTCACATGTCTTTTTGTTCATTATTTGAGATGTTGAACGCACAGAAAGTGGTCACAAAAACATTGCATGCGCTGCTGAAGATTGTGGGTGTATACAGCAGTTTGACGGATAATTATTAATTTGTAACTTGTTAACGGTGTTGAACAGCGTCTCCCATTGTTTACATTCTTGCTACAACATATCCTTAACTCTAGAAATTTTGTAATTTGATCAATTTTAACAAGTAAATATACTTACAGGTTGTGGCTCACAATCCACAGCTTCTACTTTTATGGTTGAAACGGTTACTTCTTTGTGGAGTTTTTAGCCGAATCCATCACTGAACTGAGATTCTGGAAGCTTTCATTGTCAAATGCTAAAGCTTTATCTTTTTTATAATTCTCTGGAACATACAATTAAATTTTAAGCACATCTTTTTGTGTCATGTCCTTTGGATGCCCAAATACAGAAACTAAAGAAACTGTGGAAATAGCAGCTTTTGAACTGCATTTTAGTTTTCTCTGCTGTAGCATTGCAGCGCCTCTGGCCATGCCCCTTTGCTGCGCAGGGTGTTTGCACATAACTGCACATAACCTGAAGGGTTTATGACTTCATTAACCTAGATGTGCTTTTTTGTAATCCCCAAATTTTGTTCATTGTAGGCTTTGCCTTTGAGCTAATTCTGTAAAAGCCAATGTCTCCCTTTGCATTAAACTTTGAGCTTTTATTCAGAGATGTTGTTTATGTTCACACAGCTTCATTACACATGAACTAAAGTTTTAAAATATGATATTGTAGTACAGGGGTTCCCAAACTTTTCAGCCCGCGACCCCCAAAATAACAATGCCACTGACTCGCGACCCCCAATATCCTCTGAGGTGGTTATAAATACAGAAACCTTGCATGCAATGACGCAGACACACCAATTAAATTTGTGTCAGTGCTTTAAATGTGCCAGAAAGTATAACCTGATGTTATAAAATCAAAATGCATCTGACGCTATTGCTGCCTTTAATATAATGCAATTACCCCAGGGGTCGCAATCCAATGGAACTAGTGACTATAAGCTACTATAGTAACTATATAGTATATAGTAACTATAAACGACTATTTTTATTTTCAGTATAGTTATGGATAAAATATGTTAATTCTTATGGTTTAATAAAAATAAATAGATTTTTGGAAATCACCAGGCAACCCCCCTTCATTGCCCCGCGACCCCTCGGGGGGTCCCGACCCCCACTTTGAGAACCACTGTTGTAGTAGACTACCCCTTTAATTTAATAGAAATAACAAAATATGCATTAAACTACTTTCTGGTTATATCAAAAAAAAAAAAACTTAAAGTACTAAAACTAGCCCTAACACTGCCAAATTAACAAGAAAGCATTACTGCATGTAAGATTAGTTACCGTTCCTTATGCACAAATGTTGTTGCATAAATATATGTTTATGTTGGTTTGCATATATGGGGGAAATTATGAATAATGAACCTGTGATGAATGTAAAATAAAAGCATTATCAAGCATATTAAGTGATTAATGTATTTTCAGACCCTGCTTTCAGAAAAGGTCAGTCAGATGATGGAGTGGGTCAGTAAGCGTGCAGTGGTCCGGCTGAATGGAGAAAAATTCAAGAGATTGGTTCGAGCTCATCCACGAAACTATTCTGTCATCGTCATGTTCACAGCTCTTCAGCCACAGAGACAGTGTGGAGTCTGCAGGTAAGTGTATGGACAAAGAACATATAACTTTTTTTTCTCCTGTAATGTAGCAGTGTTAATGTGAACTGAATAATGTTTTTGGTGACTGAAACACGTTAGAAACACTAAAGCCGGGTTCAGACTTGAGAAGTTTAAAAATCCTAGCTGATAATGAAATCTGGTTGCAGCACACACATGAGGAGAACCAGCTGTGATTTTTGTATTTATTTATTTTTTATTTAATTTTTTTTACCTTAAGTCTTAAATGTGCGCACAAGATATAAAAACCACAGCACACGATACAATTTATCATTAAGATTATCAGGCAAACTAAAGCCATTCAAGATTACCCAACGCCTTTTTACTTAAAGATGAAGACCCCACTCAATGTTTGTGCTGCACAACTCCCCTTACTGTAAAACACATTTTACTGGACTGTCCTGCTTTTTGTGCTTCCAGGAGACTTTTATAAGAAATAAGAAACTCTCTTAAGGACATTTTTAGCAAAGTGACACCAGAATGTTTTTTTGAATTCTTATCATGTATTAACACTAAAAATCTTGACTTGTGTATTCATTTGTTTGTTGTTCTTAAATGTTTATTTATTATTGAAATGTTCTTGCCATGAAAATAGTCTTGGTTGCTGACAAGGCAATAAATAAAAAATACATCACATTACATTACCACTGGAGCACATCACCTTTATCTAGAATTATTATTTATTATTATATTAATATTAGACCAATTTGATCAAGGATACGTCTTGGGATAGTTCACACAAATCTGAACTTATCCCTTGAAAAGTCATAGCACTACTGGTAGTTGTCACGAAAACCCTTCTGCTTTAAAGCTTTGCCCAGGCTGGTTGATTGACACTCCTTATTTGCATTTGATTTATCATTTGAGATGTTAGTTTGACCATTTGGTTTTTAGTTTATTGATTATCATTCATACTGAGTTGGTCATAAAATTAAATATCAAATACATTTGATTTCTTATTTGAGAATGCATTCTGATTTATTATTTGACAGTTTGAACATTTGATCTATCCTATGGGTAGTTGTTTTGAGAGTTCGATTTATTATTTGATATTTTTAGGCATTTAAATATTTATTTTGTTTGGAAAAAAACGTCCATCTCTGGGAATCTCTGGGCTTCATGATTTGTTGGGTTCATTATATATTTGGCTGTTTATTCAGTAAAGACTTCTTCTGTACAAGTTACTAACCTGCCACAAATAGTGGGTTTGTTCAAAATAAGTTTAGGGAGGTTGCAGAAACATATGCGTTTGGTTTAGGGGCCACGAGGTATAAAAGGTTGGGCACCACTGGCTTGAGAGCTACATTATCATATTGTGATGCTAATTTGTTGCCTGAGTCAAATGAGCCCACCCTTATGTCTGTATGACACTGCTATGTAATGTTACTAATGTGTGACATTTATAATGCAAGTCAATGCGATCAATGTATTTCAATGGACCACCCCAATGTTAAGTTAATGAGACCACTTTCAGGGTTCAACGCTAAGGATTTTTTCTGATTTTTACTTGCCCTGCCTAAATTTTCACTGGCCCCACCAAATAAAAAAAGAAGTTAATAGCTATTTGACTGTGCGTGCGTGCGTGCGTGCGTGCGTGCGTGCGTGCGTGCGTGCGTTTGTGTGTGTGTGTGTGTGTGTGTGTGTGTGTGTGTGTGTGTGTGTGTGTGTGTGTGTGTGTGTGTGTGTGTATGTGTGTGTATGTGTGTGTGTGTATATATATATATATATATATATATATATATATATATATATATATATATATATATATATATACACACAGTTGATTTCAGAATTATTAGTTCCCCTAAATTATTAGCACCCCTGTTTATTAGCACCCCTGTATATTCTGTTAAACATCATTTAGAAAATATTTTAAAAAGGAAAAAAAAAGGGGGCTAATAACTCTGTATATATATTTACAGTAATTTTAAAAATGTTTTTTAAGGAAAATTATTCAGTTCATCAAGACTACATTTATTAAATGTAAATAAAAAAATGTTTAATTGTTAAATATTTATCAAAATTTTAAATAACTGCTTTGTTATTGTATGTAGTTTCAAATAAAACCATTACTCTAGACATTATTGATTTGATTACTATTACCATTAATAAATATAATAATGATTAATATTAGTGATTTCTGAAGGATCATGTGACTGGAGTAATGAAGCTGAAATTTCATCTTTAAAATCACTGGAATAAATGAATAAATCAAATGATAAACTACTTTTGAACAGTTATTTTATAGTGCAACCTTTCACAATTTGTATTTATGATGAAACAATTGCAGCCTTGGTGAGCAGAAGAAGCTTAGTTTAACATATTTAGCAATCATACCTACCCCAAACTTTTGACCAGTTGTGTATAGAATATTTTATAAGTGAAAATGTGCACTTTAATTTTAACAACCCATAGACATCGTCACCACATACAAATTGAGATCAGACTTTCTCATACAGAGCCTCATTTCAATTGTCAGGTTTTGTAGATATCTATCTATTGAATTAATCAATCTATTAAAGAAACGTTGACTATAATTCTGTATTTTAGGCTTAAATTATAGAGAGACATAGCAGATGAACCGAGACTGCATAGATCGCGAAGCAGAACAATGTGGATTTTCTTTCGAGCTGTCAGTGCAGAAATGAACAAAACAACTGGCCTAACACAACATATTGTAAGATTAAAACATGGAAAAAATGATCAGATATTAACTTTGGTAAATTTTCCTAACGGATAAACTGAGATCAGGCTGGATAAACAGCTCTCGGTAATATTTCAGCATGCTTTCACTTTCGCATTTACCGGTAAGAATGACATCTCGCCCTGCTCATCATTCTCTCTTCATATAGCCGTATATATGGCTATTACACGATCATAATACACTGTGATACTGGACTGATTGATTTGGCGCGGATGCGAGCGCAACTGCTGGATACATGCCAAAAAAAACGCGCTAACGGGGGAAACGAGACAGATTCCGAAACAAACGTCTATGTGTAAAAGCACCGTAAGATTGCATTTGCACACAATTGACAGACAGTCGCAGCACGCAGCTCTGGCTCGATCTGGCAGGCAAAAAGGCAGCACTGGCCCGATCGGGCCAGTAACATTCTGTACACTGGCCCGAGTGTCTCGCACGCTGGCCCCGGGCCACCGGGCAGTCCTTATTGTCGAGCCCTGACTTTGGGACGTCCTAGCATCCCAGGGGTAAAGCCTATACTCCCTTGTGGGGTATGTTCTCGCTCTGGCTGAAACCCCCTACAGATGTCGTCAATCCCATATTTCACTCAGGTCACAGTGGGCCTTGCTAACATAGATAGGAAAAGTTAAATTTCTTAAAGGTTTAGGAAACCGGGGAATAAAGAAGGGCTTTGGTCAGTTGGCTCACCAGCTCAAGATGTTAAAAAGTCAGATACAAAGTGTAAGGGGATAAATAGTAAGTAATTTAAGTAATTTCTACGAAAGGCTATTTATAATTTCATATAATATGTAACCACAGTTTGTTACATCATCACAAGGATAATTGTGTTTATATAAACACTATAAATGAGGAGGATTTCCCTCCTCCTGAATCCCTGGGTCTGAATGCAGATACAGTGGATATCAGTACAGCAGGTCTCTTGCCCTATTTATTTTAACCATTAACCATAATGGTAATCTGGAGCATTTTAAACCTGGGTGTATACAGCAGCACGGATATAGGCGATATGTCTATAAAGTAACTCAACTGACAAAAAAAAGTCCGCCATTTTCCAATTCTTGTACAGATCTCCTCACAAAAATGCTTGGTGCACACAAACAGCTTTGCTGTATCGGCCTTAAGAGCATTGCAGGGAAAACCATGCAACAAACCCTGTGGACCATGAAAACAAACACATACGACCCTTCATCAACGGCTAAATACTGCATGCCATGTGCTGTCTCACAGCCTGGCGGGTCTGTGATCTGTCACCGGAATGCACCATAGACAGAATGCACGTGCAGTCATAAATAATTAAGAAGCAGGGTCTTCTCATAGGATAAAAAACAAGAAATCATCCGGAAGCTGGTTCACATAGGAGGCTCTACATAAGCAAAAGACATTGTTCATTCTGAAATGTGGGAGTGGGTTAGTGAGTTGGGGTGGTTGTATGGGGATGTTTTTTGTCTGATGGATGAATATAGTCTGGATACCCATTCATTTTTCTATGGTGGTCACTTTTAACCAGAAACACCAAAGGTGTAACAAGGTTAATTAAAAAACTCAAAATTCAACGAAAAAGGTGATCAACACTTTTATATGTCCAAGTGCATAGTGTGGAGATATCATAAGACCTTGAGACAATTAGATGTAAAACACCATGTTTATGAGTGTTTTAAGTTCCTGTCGTCCAAACACTATCATAACTATAGAATTTGAACATTTTTCTTATTCTAAAACAACTTTAAAAGTAAAATGAGCTAATTTTGCTTGCTGCTGCTGCTTGCATAGCTTTTTAATCAAATCTATGCTATAATTGCTATTTTAGTCTGTGTATGAAAATTATATTTTAGTAAAAGTGACTACAAGATAGTTTGTGTGGAAATCCAAAGCATAAACAGAAAAAAAATTGAAAAAAAAAAACATTTAATGACCCATGTTTGGAGTAAAAATGTTTTCTATCTTGTCGATTGAGTTCTATCTATAAAACAACATTTTGTTTCAACTTAACTGTTTCAGAAGTTACATTTTCAATAAAGAATCAATATTGTAGAATGATTTATAAATAACTTAAATTTCATTTAATCAACAGATGCCATTTACTCATTTCACTTGCACCAAAATAGAGTAACTAAAAATATATATTGGGAATGGGAGCATTTGTTGTTTTTTTTTTCTTCTAATCTGTGGCAGATAAAGGGGAGCATTAGGAATGCAGAATGTGATAATATTTGAGCATTTTCAGTTGTTGTTGAATAAAGCCGCTATGATTCCTCATAACTGAAACCTTAGGGCTTGTACACACACATGGAATGTTTTTATTTGGACTCATCGTCAGCATTTTTGAAAATGTTTTTTGGCTTTCACTATCAATAAGCAGAGTGAATGCACAAAATCACCCCCTGATGTTGTGTGCGTGTATGCGTTTGTGTGTGTCTTTTTCTTCAGACAGGCGGATGAAGAGTACCAGATCCTTGCAAACTCTTGGCGGTATTCGAGTGCATTTACTAACAGGATTTTCTTTGCAATGGTGGATTTTGATGAAGGTTCAGATGTTTTCCAGATGGTAAACTTTCATAATTTATTTTACTTTTGAACTCCAATTAATTTCTTACAGTGAAAATAAAACAACATTTGCATTATTTTGTCACTAATATAACCACGGAAAAATGTGTCTATATATATATATATATATATATATATATATATATATATATATATATATATATATATATATATATATATATATATATATATACATACACACACAGAGAGAGAGAGAGAGAGATTATTTGTTATAGTAATATCAGTACTGAATACTCTTCTATCTGTTTATGTCCTCTACAGCTCAACATGAATTCTGCTCCAACATTCATCAACTTTCCAGCAAAAGGCAAACCTAAGCGTGCAGATACATATGAACTACAGGTTCGGGGCTTTGCAGCCGAGCAGTTGGCTCGATGGGTGGCTGACCGAACAGATGTTCATGTAAGTCTAGCTGCACATACAGCTTTATAATTTTTCAAATTTAATGGTCACATCTGTGTCTAATATGCTGTTTCATGTCATACAGATTCGGGTGATCAGGCCTCCTAACTATGCTGGACCACTGATGCTGGGTTTGCTGCTGGCTTTTATCGGCAGTCTGGCTTACTTGCGCCGCAATAACCTGGAGTTCCTATTTAATAAGAATGTCTGGGCTTTTTCTGCACTGGTAAGCTTTTGATTATTTATGGAAATATAGGATTGTTATAGTGCTCTGACAATTTATTTTAGTATTAAGAAAATTCTACATAATACAAAAGATGTTTGGAAACATTAGGTGTTACAGTCCCTGGGCAGGGAAGTGGGGTTGCACACCTAACTGAGGATTTGGTTCAAACAAACACTCAAAGAGAAGTGTACTCAAAGTAACAACCATGAACAAGAGTTGTTGTACAGATAATGTGATTTATTACAGGTGGTGATTTGTGAAACAGTGAGTGAGATATTTACAATCAACAACCAAAACAAAACATAAATTAGAAAGACTTGCTATATATATATTGCTTGGTATATATTGTACATGTTTGCTGTTTTGTGTTTTATTCTTTCTTTCTTTTTTTTTTATGCAGTGCCTAACCAGGGACGAGGGCTGCAAATTAGCTTTATACTATATGCCCTATGTACGCAACATTGGTTGTCTTTGTATAACAATGCCAAATGTATTGTCCCTGTAAAATAACAAGCAAATTAAAATAAAAATCAGCAAAGCTTTACATATCAGTCAAAATACTGTAGCAAAATTGATTCAAAAATTTAAGAAAGATGGAAGATGCATCCATCTTATAGAGATGTCGAGGCCGTCTACTGAAGGTAACATCTCGACAGGTGCGTCTTCTGATGAGAAGGGTTGAAGAAAATCGCCATGTAAGTTCACTGCAGTTAGCTAAAGCAGTAGAAAGACAAACTGGACACCATACGGCACACACTGCAGAGAAATGGCATGCATGAGTATCATCCACGAAGAAAGCCTTGCCTAAACCCCCTGCACAAAAGCACTCCTAGAATTTCCTAGGGCCCATGCTGAAAAACATAAAGACTACTGGGACTCTATACTCTGGATAATAAGACAAAGATCAGTGTTTTTGGAAAAAAATGGTTTTAAAACTGTATGGCGTCTTAACGGTGAGGATAAGAAAAATGTATGGTGCCTACAGTGAAACATGGTGGTGGCAGTGTCCTTATGTGGGGATACATGAGTGCCGCTGTTGTTAGGGAGCTGCAATTCATTGATGGTATCATGAACTAAACAATGCACTGCTCTATACTGAAGGAAAAGATGCCGCCATCACTCTGTGCACTTTTCCAACACAACAATGATCCAAAAACACATCTAAAGCTACTGTTGCATTTCTGAAGAAGAACGGGGTGAAGGTGATTAAATGGCCAAGTATGTCTCCTGATCCTGAACCCAATTGAACACCTGTAGGGATTTCTGAAGCAACAAGTTGAGCATCCCTCTACATCCAGCATCCCTGCTGTAAAAGAGGTTATTGAAGAATTGAAAAAAGAGATGTTGCAGTATGTTGCCAACTTGTTCATTCCATGCCTAGAAAACTTGGTGCTGTCCTTAAAAATCACCGGGCTCATACAAAATACTAGCTGTAGTAGTATTTGTTGCAGGGTGTATTAATTTTTGCTTTAACCAATTTAAGCAAAACTAAAGCTTTTGTGATCTAAGTTTGATTATTAACCCTAATTTCACGCGATGGAGTTAAATAAGTGTTCAATAAAACTCAGCCTTTTGAAAAGTTTAGAAATTGTTCTTTTGTTCTTTTAGCTACTGATTAAATTTGTGTACATATATATGGTTTCCGCTATCTTCATTCTTCCATGGCGGGGCGCCACAGCAAAATTCATTTTCGCCACGACAATATTACAGCATCTTAATCAAAACCTTCTGTTGTTGTTTTTTTTAACAGTGGGTTATAATCGCACCAAACGTTTTAAAAGCTAAGTGAATTATAATAGAGCAAACTTTTATGTAATCGTAGTTGTGCTGTGCATTATTTGTTTAACCCATTTGTTTAACTGACTGTCTGACAGGGCTGCACTATGCGTGAGGCCAGCAAACATAGCTTTCAGTTAAGATGAACAGTTTCCATAACTATATGGTATAGATAAGGGTCTATGGTTCTGCATACAATGACTTTGTCTTGCTGAAATTTATGGCTGTTTCACTTTACTTCAGGACGCATCAATGCTGTTCTGCAGGTCTATTGGAGACATTCATAAATGTTCCTAGGAAATCTAATAAATGTTGGACACATACTCATTACATAAATGCACTAAATAGCACTTCCGCAGTGTTTATTTAAGAGCCCACAGGAAAATTTGTGTTTGAGCATATTTGAGGAGGTGTGCAAGAAGTTTTGTCCATGAACAGAGGAAATCAGCGCTCAAGCTAAGAGATTTGCATGCTCGTTTTACATGAATGCAATCCTGACTTGTAATACTGCATCACAACATTTGACATTGAAATAACGCAATAGGTAGTTGGAAGATCTGTGTAAAGGACCTGCCGTTACAGCTGAAACCATCTAGAAGCTTGTGTGTGTGTTTGTAATTGCATTTTATGTGATATTTTTACTAATGTTTTCTCTCTCTCTCTCTCTCTCTCTCTCTCTCTCTCTCTCTCTCTCTCTCTCTCTCTCTCTCTCTCTCTCTCTCTCTCTCTCTCTCTCTCTCTCTCTCTCTCTCTCTCTCTCTCTCTCTCTCTCTCTCTCTCTCTCTCTCTCTCTCTCTCTCTCTCTCTCTCTCTCTCTTTATATATATACAGTGTTTTGTTTTGATCATGACATCAGGTCAAATGTGGAACCACATAAGAGGACCTCCATATGCACACAAGAACCCCAACACCGGCCAAGTGGTTAGTTATTTCCTTTACCTCACAAAGTTTTTGTATTTTTGTTTGTTTAATTCTTTTGTCCATATATTTTTAAAAGTCAATTGAACAACATGACATTTGTTGAGTATTTCACTGCAATCATATATATCAAATTAGAAGAAAGTATTACGTACCATGTGTAAAAAATATCAAATTATGATTTATATAATTTGATTTATCTAATATTTCTATTATTAGATTTGATTAGATTTTCTTAACAGTTGCTGATGTCACCTGTGGCCTACTGTACATGCAGATGTATAGTTATCGATTTGACCATATTCGGTACAGGATGGTTTTAGCCATTTTGGTTTACTTTGGGTTGTAATCTCAGCTGTAGTTCGATGTTGTTTTGCAGTATCCCTGCCTCTCATGTAGCTGGTGTTAGAATGTTCTAAGATTATTAAAATCGTATTGAATCTTCTGTCCATTCCATATCAGTTATAAAACAAAAGATAGAAAAGTAAAGATAAAGTTTTTTTTATTTGCTCACAAAAAACTCAAAATGGGATTTTGGCTATTTTTCATCAGAGTAGAAAACAGTTAAACAACTTCAAAATTCATTATACACATGTTGGCAGTGCTGAAACACCCATTTTCCTTTCATTGGTCAACCAAATCTGAGCTTGTGACATAGCCCTCAAAATAAGAGCCCCCTGCGGACCAACACCCTTTAACACCTTTTAATTTTTATTTAATCATATAAAATAAGTTTACATATTCTGTCATTTGAGCAGTTAGCAAGCTTACTTTCATTGCATATGCATAAATTAAATAAAAACGTAAATTAGCAGTATTATTAGACATTTGTCATTAAAATAAGGTCATAGTTTACTGCCAAACATATATATATATATATATATATATATATATATATATATATATATATATATATATATATATACTCGTCTTCCTTCCTTTTTTGTTCCCGGCTGATCACATGCCTGAGGAGCTTTAGTGGACTAAGGAATAAATCATATGCATTATCGTTGAGTCATAAATCAAATTATCATATTACCATACTGGCTCATGGTACATAATAATTTCTTCTCATATTGTAACACATTTTTTTTGTTTAAAGTTTTAAAGTTTAAAGTTTAAATCAAATGAAAATTCACAGTAAAATATCTTCTTCCCCCTTTTCAGAGTTACATCCATGGCAGCAGCCAGGCCCAGTTTGTGGCAGAGACTCACATTGTTCTTCTCTTCAGTATCCTTAGCCACTGAGCTAAATTAAATTCTGACCAATCACAATGTCCTGAGTTGAAACATTTTTGTTATATTGGTATTTTTGTATCTTTAATTATTTTTGTGGTAAATAAACCTTTCTTCTTCTTCTTCTTCTTCTTCTTCTTCTTCTTCTTCTTCTTCTTCTTCTTCTTCTTCTTCTTCTTCTTCTTCTTCTTCTTCTTCTTCTTCTTCTTCTTCTTCTTCTTCTTCTTCTTATTATTATTATTATTATTATTATTATTATTATGAATGTTGAAAATGAATGTTTCAGATTTTATATATATATATATATATATATACATACATACATACATACATACATACACACACACACACACACACACACTCACTCACACAGCATTATGAATAATGTGCATGTAACTATAACTAATTATGACTTTTATGATAAGTAATGTGCCCAACACTGCTTGCATCTACATATTTTAAACAATTGCTTTTTTGATAATTGAAGTGTTTCTTTTGTCCTCATTTACAAGTCGCTTTTCTACAGTATAAAAGTGTCTGTATCATAAAAAAATTGGATGCAAAGTTTCCGATTGACTTTTTATGTCAATGTGTTCCTGAACATTAATTCAGATGCAGCAGTGACCATAGGAATGGTGCTGCTTCATGAGGCTGCTACCTCTGGCCTGGACATTGTAAAAAGGAAAAGTATGCTAACATACAACTTGTGCTGTTAACACCCAAGTTGAAACAGTCTTAAAAATGTTTTGTTTTCTCTTCTAGTTATGTGTGTAGCAGGAATCGGACTGGTGGTGCTGTTTTTCAGTTGGCTGCTGTCTGTATTTAGGGCCAAATATCATGGATATCCTTATAGGTGAGATGAATCTATATTATCAACATGTTTCTGAGAGCAATGATCAAATTAAATCTAAAAGAGATTTTTTTTAAATTGGAAATGTTCATCAATTTGATATGCAGCTTTGTCCCTAATTTGCGTTAAACCAATGCATTAAACCTGATCATGTTGTACTCTGCATGATTTAAGATATTATAAAGCATCTTGACCTTCATTAAAAAACAAAATCAGATTTCTGTACTGTTGTCACAAGATTAATGTCACTGTATGAAAATGTGGTTTGTGACCAAGAATTGCTGCAGAATCATAAATACAAATCATATTATACATAATCTTGTTAGTAAATGGTTAACAAACATGAATAACATGCACGTTGAAGTCGAGGTTTCCACTTTAACACTCCAAAATTGCCATGATATTCATGTTTGTTAACTCAACTAACTGTACTAACATAATTTATCATTAAAAAAGCAAAAAGTGTATTTTTCTAACATTTATTTATTATGTTCATGCTAACTAAACATTAACTAATGTATTAACACATTGTCATGTGCTGCGGACGAGGCAAAGACAAAGGGTAGAATCCATGTGCAGTTTAATGGGAAATTATTCATGAAAACATACAAAAAGGTTAAAGAACTGGCTAAAACTCGGGTATAAAACAGGCATCCAAAATCATGATCAAAACAGGGTTGTGACGATGAGGAAATTTGCCCACCGGTTAATCGACATGTGACAACACTGGTAATACCAGTATCACCGTAGGGGTTTCCTCTCTTTTTTGTGTGTGCTTTTATAAATGAGTGCATATATTATGGGCGCTGTAGCCTACACTACATAGCACACACTGGCAAGATTAAGTGCTGATCTCCACGGGACCAATTTTAATTGTTTTGTTATTTGCGTGTTCTCCTTTCTAAAATACCTTTATTTGAAAAATCTCTCAAGTTAATTTTGGCTATATGGTAACATAATCTCAAGAGATATTGGAGTTCAATAACGTTGTACGCAGTATGACTATTGACCAACACCTCCCTGTAAGCTTGCACTCTGCATAGACTACAGCTCTGGTGTGTTATGAATTGCATGTTTTAAATGACAGCGAGATATGCTACATTTAGTTTTTATTGTAAAATACACATTATAACCCAGTACACGGTAAAATAATATGTTTGAATGGCTAGCCTATTGGCAACGTATATCTTAAATATGCCAAGCATATCTTTATTAATATTAAAACACATTACAAACTAGCCACCTTTTGATTATTTTTTTTTTCCTCAAAAATGCAATGAGTTGTTTATTTTGGTTTTCATTTTATTAGAATTAATACTATTATTAGGCGACACAACTTCCACATAACATTGGATCTGATTGCGTTTTTACAGATATCCTACAGATAGACGTTTTAGCTCAAAGACATTTATGCCTGTTAATTTCAGTGCTGTACTTAAACAGATTTCGCAAAGGCTACAGGTATTCTACCTGTCAGCTAGTATCAGACTCAGTTTTGCGACTTGACTTGTGTGGCGTCTGTATCAATGTCTGGATGACAGCGAGAGAGAGAGATGAGATCAGACCTTAGATTTGATGTGTGGCCGCACGTCTCAGTTACTTTACTGCAATTTTTTAAGTATTGGCTTATCTAAATTAACTTTTCATTCGAATAAAAGACAAAATATTGCCAGACAGACGAAGCAACTTTCGTTTTTTTAAGAGAGCGGCTTTAGTGATAAAATACGCACACACACACAGAATACACTCTTGTCGGCCTATTCATTATTGATTTTTTAACATTAAACGCATAATAATCAAGTGCAAAAAAGAACAGCTGAACTTCGGAAAAAGTGATCACTGCGGTTGCCGTGATGGTTGCTTTCCTTCTCTGCAGTTGGCTTTTTTAGTGGCGCAGCATTGCTAAGTCACTCGTTTTAATAAAAAATAAGATGTTTATTATTAAACAATGTGAGATGATGATCGCGTGATTTATAAAATGAGAGTATGCATTGCATATTTATGGCTATTGATCTTTTCTACCCACGACCCACCCATAATTAAACATCAAGTAGGTGCGTTAAAGGTGCGTGTATAAATTAGTTGTGTTTCCTCCAGATGCTGCCACCTTTGTCAAGCAAAGTTTGCAGTTTGCCTCAGTAAAGTATTCAGGTCCTCTTTTTGCATTTGGTTTGAACCCAAAATATTGCCAAACAGATGATTTTGTATTGCGTTTTGACACTAAATCGTCCGCCATTCTCTTTCTGTAAATTCGACTTCTCTCGTTCTCACGTGATAAATGAAATATGACGCATTGTAGCTATGTTCAGATTTTAATTATAGTGCATGCTCTCGTCTTAAGTAAATGATTTAGAATTATATTTTCCATTTAATTCAAGTAAATATTTAATAAAAATGGAATACTTAAACAAAACAAATGTGGGGACGGTGTCACGGTGGAAAAGTGATGTCACCGGTGTTGCGTCTTAAAATCCGTAACACCGTCTATCGTGGCAAGCCTAGATCAAAATGAGCATAGTCAAACACAAAACAGCAATCCAAAAAAATTAAGTATCAAATAAACAAACAAAACAAAGACAAAGCTCTGGTGCGCACACAACAATACAATCAAAGACTCCATCATGAAGTAAGTGTGCGGGGAAGATTTATGGTCCATGCAATCTTAGAAAATGGGTTACAGCTGTGATTGTTTGATCAGTCCAAATGGAAGCCGGTGTGTGCATAGTGGAATGTAGGGATTTGTAATTCATTACCAGTCTGTAGTTCATCAGAGATCTCCCCCAGCATAAATCATTGGCAATCATGACACACATATGCTCAGATTTAGTACTGCTGAATAAATGTGCTGTTCAATGTTAAGTCATGTTATATAATCCATGAACAAATGCCATTAGTGTATACGTAAGTAAACATTAACTAACTGCAAAGAATAAATGTAGAGTGGTGCATTAGAATATGAGTAAGTGGACATTATTATGTAATGTTAAATAATAATCATTGTATTTAATGTATCAAATAATACAAGATATGTTTAGTTAACATAAAAAAGAGTAAGTATTACTCAACAGATGTGTTGTTCACTGTTAATGTTAACTAACAATAATTAATACACTTATTGTAAAGTGTTACCGACGTAATTTACATTAATCGAGCCAGCTTTCATGCAACTGAGTCGGCGCTAAATTAAGCCTGAATTGTTTGAAAATCCAAGCTTAATTGCTTAGCTTAAGGCCAGCTCACACTGTGCTTTTTAATAATCCTGGATTATTATAGCATGTCAGACTGCACGCACATGGCTCCCATGTCACACTGTAAGTTCTCAGTTGTCATAAAATCAGACTGAACAACAATGATGACGCGCCAAACACGAAAGAAAACACCCCCAGAGTTTGAAGTCATCCACCTGTAACACTTTCACTATCCCACGTTCTGAAATGATTCCTCACAGCAAACGTAAACAATCTGTAGCAGCTAGGGATGCTCATTTCGGTTAATTTTGCTTACCGACAACCACCGCTCATTAATCGGTTATTAACGGTTAACTGGTCAGATTACTATTAATTTTATATTAAACAAATTGACGTGTCTATTTTGTGTCTGACACATTTAATATTGCATAAAATACAGATTTATTTTTATATGCTAGCATATTAATAACAGAACAATACAACAGAGCATTTTCACGCACTTGCAGTGTTTAGCACAGAAGAACAGAATAAACTAAATAAAATGAATAAAATAAATAGGACTGCCCTAAATTATTTTCAACTTAAATAATTAATTTATATTTCAAATCGAAAACACTGACTGATTATTTTTAATAACCGGCATAGGCTGTTTTTTCATATTTTTGTCTTCCGTCAAATAAAATAGCAGACTTCTTCAAATCGCTCGCTCCACGGAAAATATGCATTTATTTAATGCCCCGCTTGTATTATTATAATCACAAAACCTTTTTACATTTTTAATTGAAATCATTATTTTAAAGATTATGTCTTGACGTGGTTTCCTTTCTCTCCATCGCGGCTCAAGTGCACGCGCTGCGTGATGAAAAGACAACAACACGCGCGCATATGTGGACTTTTTGTAAACAGTTTTGTTGTTTAAATATATTGCATTAATATGCATACATGCTTTATAAGCTATAAAATAAAAGGTAAAGCCTATTTGTTGCGTTTATGATGCAGATCCAGGTCAACATCAGCGCTTTTTTTGGCATCAACACGTCTGTTTCAAGCAATATTCTTCTTCCATTTTGCTTCTTTGGCAAATGTGTCAGTAGGCACGGGTTATACTTTATCGTCCCGCTGCAAGTATGTCTTGCAGTTGAACAAGTGGCCGATCACAGCTAACGTGCTTTTTTCATTCCAAAAACGCCAGGCGCACCTCACTGCCTTTATATGTTGACAAGGAAAAAAGAAGAGAAGAAAGCGCAGTCCTCTTATGAAACGACTGAATCAGCTGGGTATCGATTGTGCAAAAGTGTTGCTGTATATGTTGATAAAATTGTAATATTTAATAATATTATGATATTCAAGATTTGTACATTCATACAGCTCTGGATAACTTAAAACAGCGATTAGACCTTCAGAGCGGCAATAATGCATCCTGAAGTAAAGCGAAACGGCTATAAACTCCAGCATGATAGAGTGATTATTTGCAGAGTCATACTTTAATTATAAATAAAGTATAACTATAGAAACTGTGTTCATCTTAACTGAAAGCTTCTGCGTGTTTGCTGACCTCACGCATCGCGCACCTGTCAGTCAGTCAGTCAGTCAGCACGTAACCCCAAAGGATTAAACAATAGCGCACAGCACTATACGGTTACAAAAAAGTTTGCGCTGTTATAATCCACTTACCTTTTAATACGTTTTGATGCGATTATAATCCGCTATTAAAAACAACAACAACAATAACTGAATGTTTTGAATGAGTATGTAGCCGTGGCGGGATGCATTTTGTTCCCCGCCATGGAAGAATGAATGTTGCGGAAACCAAGCTCTTTAAAAGTTCTCTGTAGTTGTCTTGACAACACAAACTGCTGCTCTGGGATGAGCCGCGTGCAAAAGATGCCCCTCTTAACGCAAAGGCACATTCAATCGGCCCCTTATGCAGCCAAACTAAAAATATATAAAATAATAATTTTAATTGTTTAACTGATAGCATTAATCGGTCACAAACGCACCCTTTCGGTTAACGGTTAATCGATTATTTTGAGCATCCCTAGTAGCAGCAATTTTGCACACGGCATGTCTTAATAATAAAACCTGAAAGAAAAAAACTGTTTTGACATTTCTCCAAAGTCATTTGAATTGTCGCATGAATCCCGTCATCAAATTTGGAGCTCTTATTGGTTCTTGGATTGACAATCATTGCAGCTGTTGTCACTGCAGGAAAATGTCTGAAATCTTTTGACACTGCCACAGCGTCATCGGAGGAAAAATCTGATCGCAGCAGGCACCAAGCGGCTTTCAGTGAACATGTCAAACCAATGGTCAAAGACCACAGATTTTAGCCTAGGATATCAGGAACCTTTTAGGATTTCCCAAATTTGCCTCGGATAACAGGCTGAAATCTCAGTTTGAGCAGGGCTGAAGTCAGGGATAAATTCAGCAAGGATATCTTGAAAATCCCAGCTTATTTCCGTTGCTGAGTCAATAGCCCTCTGGTTTCACAGGCTTAAACTTAACCAGGATTAGGCCCTAGTTCAATTAGGACATTTTAGTAATGTTTCTAAATATGATTATTTTTATTCATTTACTTGTTTGTTTAGTTAGCTAAGATTAATGTTAATAGAAATATAACTTTTATGTCAGCTCATTTCTAATAAAGTGTAGTAATGTAGTACATGTAAAACTGACCTCACTGACTTGAGTGTCTTTGCTTTTTCTGCAGCTTCCTGTTTGGTTGAGTGAAGGTCTTTGGAGAAACTTCATCAAATACAAATATTAAGTGCCTTAATGTTTAATATGAGTGATTGATCTGGTAAAGTTCAGCTTGACTCTGTATGTGCCTTTTTTCTGTTTTTATTTGTGTACATTACAGATTACATTGTTAAAATTTGAATAAGTTTGTCATCAAAATTTTTTATTTCTCTCCCTAAGTGGTCTGGTGTCTCCCTAAGGGTAATGTGGTGTCGGTTAACAAGTGACAAACTGAAGCAGATGCACTGTATGGCAATAGCATTACTTGTTAATGAAATGTACCGTTGGATTTGATGAAAGAAAATGCATTGATGTGGAAGATAAAAAAAAGACAAGTGAGATGTATTCAATTCTACCTCATTGATGTGCAAATCAAGTGTCCAAAGTCAAATAAAAGTTAGGATAGCTTCTAAAGTAATTCAGTATGAGATGGAAGGAAATCTCAGGTTTAATTAGTGTCTTTATTGTGGTGTTTGCTCTTGTCCTGCCTCAGGTGATTTCTCAAGATTTCTGCCATTAAAAGTGCCTTGATTTCTTCTAAACGCTTTTCCAGTTTGATATCTATTCATGCATTCCTCATTATTTTTGGCTGTATTACATTTTACTTTTGCAAACCTATCTGAACATTTGAATTGTTCATTTGAATCTGAACATTGAATTGTGTGGAAAAGTGGACATGGGAGGTGTATATGGACATATCCTTGACCCTTCGATAATGACAGAGAATGAGGCTACTCATATATCTGAGTATACAACATCTCAACTGAAACTTGATCACAGAGTGACATATCCCTCCTTTTAAAGAAAAAAAATGGCAATAGTGCTTTATCCACCTTGGCTTATCCATTGTAACTTAAATGTGTTAAGACTTCTGGTCTAATTCAATTCCATTGATTTTATATAAACGTGATGCCACATACAAAACAAACAAAGCACGTCGGCCTATGCCCCCTGCTGAAAAGACCAGCATATGTTGTGTTTGTTGCTGTATGCTGGTGCTGGGAGGCTGGTGCTATGCAGGTGGCCTGCATACCACCACCAGCATAACACCAGCATTCCAGCATCAGCATCTCATGCTGGTCACCAGCATACAGCACCAAAACACAACATATGCTGGTATGCTAGTGACCAGCATTGGATGGTGGTGCTGGTAACCAGCATACCAGCATCTCATGTTGGTATCATTAAAATCTGTGCTAGTGTAACGGAGGCCAGCTAGTAGGTGCTGTGCAGGTAAACCCCACTCCTCTGACCTCTAAAAGTGCTCTAGCGACAGATCCTGGAGGCGATGGTCTTTAGCCTCCTTGGTAGAGCACCCGATTCCCATGCGGAAGGACACCGGTTCGATGCCAGCTCGGAGCGGGTTGGGTGGCGTAGGACCGGCGGGGTTACATTGGTGCTGTGACCCTGATGGGAGTGAGGTTTAGGGAGGTGAGTGTAACGGAGGCCAGCTAGTAGGTTGGGTGGTGTAGGACCAGCGGGGTTACACTAGTTAACATTTTTTGCAAGGTAGTCCGTTCATGATGAAAATCATGAAAACACAAGCTTTCATTGACATTATGGGCTCTATTTTGACGGTCCATGCGCAAAGTGCAAAACGCAGGGCGCAAACGCTTTCAGGGCGTGTCAGGACGCGTTTTTGCTAATTTAAGGACGGGAAATCTGCCTTGCGCCAAGGCGCATGGTCTAAAAGGGTTGAGTTTATTTTCTTAATGAGTTATAGGTGTGTTTTGAGAATAAACCAATTAGAGTCTCATCTCCCATTACCTTTAAGACCCAACTGCGTCACGCCAAGAGCGCATTCTCTATTTACAGGACGCAAAGTAAGTCTAAGTGGAAAAAAATGAACATTTCACAAGCAAACAGTTGACAGTTTTTTAACAGAAAACTGTTAAACAGAGCATCTACTGCATGAGAATGAGAGATAATGGAACTACTTTCACTTTCGCTCTTGAATAGGGAAACCTTTACGCACAGACATCAATTAGTCTATAAATAGTTAATTTCGTTCGTTAAGCGCAAAGATTTGTTTCAAAACTATTTCTAAATTCAGTTCTAATTTCTAGCAAACGAATAAATGAACAATATTAACGAAGTGTGGTCAAAATACTGAGTTATTTCCGAATACACCTGCCATGCCCCATATGGTCTAAAACCTGACAGGTGGGCAAATCTAAGCTTGTTTTTAATAAAACAAATATTAATATGGATATATTAAATAATACTGCTAATAATAATAACATTATTCAAAAGCAAATTGTTATGAATGAACTGAAAAAGCCTCCTGAGATGAAGACATAAAAGCAGTGATTTTTCATATTTATGTAGGCTCGAAAATAATATATAATCCTTATATATATATTCCGTTTTGTAATATATAATCCTTTATATTTATATCCTATATCTATTCCTATTATATCCTAAATATATCCTTGATATTTAAATTTTTTCATATGTAAAGATATTTGCCTATTGCTCTCTTGTGCGTATTAAGTAGTGCGTAAGCAAGGCGCAACTCTGCGCCGGAGTTTAGACCGGGTTAGTTTTGGTCTAATGAAAAATCTATAATAGTTTCTCAAAATAGCAACACACCAGCGGTCCGCCTCGGAACACCTTCCTTTTTAGACCAGAACACCTATGGGCGCACAAATGAGCGCTAATGCATTTGCTATTTAAACAGCGTAACGCAACGCCTCAAAACGTCTCTTGCACCAAGCTGAAACTACCAAAAGACTATTGTGCCGCGTCTTGCGCCACACTGCGCCGAGTGTATGATAGGGCCCTATATGTTCATTCATTCATTCATTTTCTTTTCGGCTTAGTCCCTTTATTAATCTGGGGTCGCCACAGTGGAACAATTCGCCAACTTATCCAGCATATGTTTCATGCAGGGGATGCCCTTCCAGCTGCAACCCATCTCTGATAAACATCCATACACACTCATATACTACGGACAATTTAGCTTACACAATTCACCTGTACTGCATGTCTTTGGACTGTGGGGGAAACCAGAGCAACTGGAGGAAACCCACGCGAATGCGGGGAGAACATGCAAACTCCACACAGAAACACCAACTGACCCAGCCGAAGCTCGAGCCAGCGACCTTTTTGCTGTTAGGCGACAGCACTACCTACTTCGCCACCATGTCGCACACATTAAATGTTCTTTATTTATATTATTAATAACAATAATGTCATAATAATAATAGGTAAACATGAAAACAAATAACATTTATTTTTTACAAAACAACAACGCTATCTCAACAAGTAAAAGAAAATAACCCACATTGGTAACACTGCAGGCAAGGCAACACTACACGCTATGTACCATTCATTAAGCATTAGCAATAGCTAATTCATTTTTCTTGAAAGTATTCTTGACTTATAAGCACATGCATAGTGTGCCTACTTGTGTTTTTATGCTTTCTTAATGATTCGTTTTTCATTACTAAATTAAGTAGTGTATTATTTAAACATCGGTTATTTAATAGTTGTTTTTTTAAGATCATACAAAATGTATAATTAAATGATTAATAAAGTAATTTGTATGTTAATAAATGCTTAATTCAACTTATCCAGTTTTGCGACCTAATAAAGTTAATAAATAATTATTATCATATAAAGTAATAGGGTATGTAAATGTTAATAAAAAAAAAACAATTGCCTTAATCTTGATCCTAACTAAAACTAAAACTAAAACACTAACTATTCTTAAGTAACTGGTTTGTAGATGATGCAATACGTCATTTAGTAATGTAAAATAAATTATTGACAAAGTATGAAAACAATCGTTATGCACATTATACATGCTATGTTTATAAACTGCTTACCAACATCTATTAACATAGAGTTAATGTTTAACAAATTATGAATTCATTATTATTATGCTAATGCTTAATAATACTTAATAAATGATTCATAGTGTGGGTATTATAAGTGTAACCAATTATTTCCCGTAATGTAACGTCCAGCCTTTACAAATCTGGCCTGCAGCTCTGGCTCCTCCACATTGCTTTTCACCAGCCACTCCTTGAAGCAGGCTAAAAAGAAAATGTACAGATAAGCAGTGATGTTTTGTCCTACCAGAACAAAGACACATTTATTACTTCATATCTCAGTACTTGGCATTTTACAAAAAAAAACTTGTGGCTACTGCTACCTTTAGTGTATGTAGTTTTTGTGGGGTTAAAGGCTTCTTTGTAGTTTTTGTGGTGGGGCATTCCTTCCCTGTAAGACATCTCTCCCCCAGAGTTTTTGTATCCCAGAATGCCAACAAATAGAGAATCCCTAGTGTTTTTCTGTATTGCTGTCCAGGTCTCACTGCAGGTTTGGATGTCCTCAAGTCTCACCAACTGAATCTGAGAGAATTAGTATAATTAAAATAGGATTTTACATATGCACATAAAAAAAAAACTGTATATAAAAATTATGTAAATATACTTCAAATACATATACAAACTTGATTCCTAAAAAATTGGGACACTGTACCAATTGTGAATAAAATCTAAATGCAATGATGTGGAAGCTCCAAATGTCAATATTTTATTCAGAATAGAACATAGATGACATGTCAAAAATAAGTTGATTTTATATTTCATGGCATCAACACATTTCAAAAAAGTTAGGACAAGACCATGTTTACCACTGTGAGGCAACCCCTCATCTTTTTACAACAGTCTGCAAACATTTGGGAAATGATGAGACAAGTTTCTCAAGTTTAGGAATAGGAATGTTCTCCCATTCTTGTCTAATATAGGCTTCTAGGTGTTTGACTGTCTTAGGTTTTCTTCGTCGCATCTTCCTCTTTATGATGCGCCAAATGTTTTCAATGGGTTAAGGATCTGGACTGCAGGCTGGCCATTTTAGTACCTGGATCCTTCTTCTATGTGTCCATGATGTTGTAATTGATGCAGTATGTGGTCTGGCATTGTCATGTTGGAAAATGCAAAGTCTTCCCTGAAAGAGACGACGTCTGAATGGGAGCATATGTTGTTTTATAACTTGGATATACCTTTCAGCATTTATGGTGCTTTTCCAGAGGTGTAAGCTGCCCATGCCACATGCACTCATGAAACCCCATACCATCAGAGATCTAGGCTGAACTGAGCACTTATAACAACTTGGGTTGTCCCTGTCCTCTTTAGTCCGGATGACATGGTGTCCTAGTTTTCCAAAAAGAACTTCAAATTTTGATTCATCTGACAACAGAACAGTTTTCCACTTTGCCACAGTCCATTTTAAATGAGCCTTGGCCCAGAGAAAATGCCTGCGCTTCAGGATCATGTTTAAATATGGCTTCTTTTTTGACCTATAGACTTTTAGCCGGCAACGACGAATGGCACGGTGGATTGTGTTCACCGATAATGTTTTTCTGGAAGTAGTCCTGAGCCCATATTGTGATTTTCATTATAGCAGCATTCCTGTTTGTGATCCAGTGCTGTCTTAAGGCCCAAAGATCACAGGTATCCAGTATGGTTTTCAGGCCTTGACCCTTACGCACAGAGATTGTTCTAGATTCTCTGAATCTTTAAATGATATTATG